ATCACATATGTATGCATACATACGTCGGAGTGAACGGCTGAAACGAACGGTCATTTACTGTCCCTGGGTGCGTGGCTGAAGTGGAATTCCGCGATGCGGATTCTTGTTGTTGGTGTTGTTTGTTGTTTGTTGTCTGTTGTTGTCGTCGTCCCACCCGCGACCCGCCCCGCGACCCGCCCGCGACCCACCCCGCGACCCACCCGCGACCGACCCGCGACCCGCCCGCGACCCACCCGCGACCCACCCCGCAACCCACCCGCGACGCACCCACGACCCACCCGCGACCCACCCCGCGATCCGCCCGCGACCGGCCCCGACACGCCCCTGGCGACCCACCCGCGACCCACCCACGACCCACCCGTGACCCACCCGCGACCCACCCGCCGACCCACCCGCGACCCACCCGCGACCCACCCGCGACCCACCGCGACCCACCCGCGACCCACCCGCGACTCACCCCGCGACCTACCCAAAATTTTCAGCGCCGGCGGCGGGTTTCTTTTGCATTCGTTCCAGGTGGAGAACCTGCGACCCACCCGAAACCCAAGCCGCGCCCGCGACCCACCCGCGACCCACCGCGACCCACCCGCGACTCACCCGCGACCCACCCCGCGACCCACTCAAAATTTTCGGCGCCTGCGGCGGGCTGTTTTTGAATTCCTTCCAGGTGGAGGTGGAAAGCCCGCGACCCACCCGCGCCCAAACTACGTTCACTGAACAAGCCAAAAGTTCGGCGCCTGCGGCGGGTTTTTGCATTCGTTCCAGGCGAAGAACCTGCGACCCAAACCGCGTTCAGTGTACAAATTAAATGTTTCGGCGCCTGCGGCGGGCTGTTTTTGAATCCCTTCCAGGTGGAGGTGGAGAGCCCGCGACCCACCCGCGAACTAAGTTCACTGAGCAAGCCGAAATTTCGGCGCCTGCGGCGGGCTGTTTTTGCATTCGCTCCGGGTGGCCCACCAGCGATGCCCCCCGCGCTGAAACTTGTCAGAGCACGCAAATCGGCGCCTGCGGCGGGTTTGCTCGCATTGGTTTGGGAAAGCGCCCTCGTGCCATTCCCCCGATCCGGCCCACGTTGACTCTACAACAGCACATCGGCGCCTGCGGCGGGGCTGTGCCTGAACACGTTCATTGACAATCCAGCTGCCTGCTGCAATTCGGCATCCGTGCCCAAAGCCTGGGTCCAGGGGAAGCTGCCTCAAGGCGCCCACAATTAAGGAGCCTCGGAGCGCTCAAGGACCCTCCTGAGGGGGGCGTCCACGAACCCTGCCACACAGCACACTAGTGCCGCACAAGCGCGCGGCGGATTTTGCCTGCCGTCTGAGCCCCCCAAGACCTCTTCAACCTCCGTGCATCCACACCAACCCATCCAGCAACTTTACCCTGGCGAGTTGCCTGGATCAGAGAAGTCGGGGAACATTCAGTGGAACAAACGCTTGGTTTGCCGTTATCTTGAGAAAAAAGGGCGAGGCAGAGGAGTAAACAGGGGACGAGGAGGACGCGGAAGAAGCTAGGATGTAAGGATAATGTGGAGAAAGAGGAGGAGGAAGAGGAGGAGGAGGAGGAAAAAGAGGAAGAGGAGGAGATGGAGGAGGAGGCGGACGACGAGGACGATGATGACGAGGACGCGGACGAGGAAGAGGAGGAGGAGAGGGAGGAGCAGGAGGAGGAGGAGGAGGAGGAGGGCGCCATCGACAGGGAAGGTGAGGGCCACGAGGTCCGCCGACTCGACGCCCGCGTCGCCCGCGCCCGCCCCCTCACTCTTATCCGCAATTGCGGGGTGCTACGTATATACCTAGCACCCCGCAATTGCGGATAAGAGTGTGGGGGCGGGCGCGGGCGATACGGGCGTCGAGCTGGCGGTCCTCATGGCGCCCCCCTTCCCTGTCGCTGGCGGTCCGTCGGTTTTCTCCTGGCTCCGCTCGTCAAACTCCTCCTCTTCCTCCCTCTTCGTCCTCCGCCTGCCCCTGCCCTCCCTGGCTTGCCCCCCGCCCCCCCTGCCTCCCATGCTCCACATCCTCATCTTCCTCCTTTTCGTCGTCGTCGTCCTCCTCCTCTGCCTCCTCCTTTTCTGATCATCCTCATGCACCTCGTCCTCCTCCTCCTCCCCCTCGTCCTCGTCCTCACCTTCCTTCACGTGCACCTCCTCCTGCTCCTCCTTCTGCTCCTCCTCCTCCGCCGCCCCCGGACGCCCAGCCGACCTGGCCCAAGTGCGAAACCAATGAGACGAAGTTCCTCGACGGCTGGGCTCTCACCCAGAAGGTCCCAGGGCCCCCCCGAGCGAAGATTTGCTGTTTCAAAGTCGCCATTTCAGACTCAGCGTTGGGCAGAGCGCGGGCGCGACGGCGCCCTCCCAAACCAACGCAGTGCAGCCCTCCGCAGGCGCCAACAATTTTCGTATGTGCGTGTTGTGGGTCGCGGGTGAGTTGCAGGTGGGTGGCGGGTAGATCGCGGATGGGTCGCGGGGTGGGTCGCGAGTGGGTCTCGCGGTGGTGGCACTCCTTAAACCAATGTAATGAAGCCCGAAGCAGGCGCCGATTTTTTTTTGGCTGCTCTAGACTCAATCTGGTGTGAGTCGCGGGGTGGGTCGCGGGTGGGTCGCGGGGGGGGTCGCGGGGGGGTCGCGGGCGCGGGGTGGGGCGCGAGTGGGTCGGCGGGTGGGTCGCGCGGTGGTGGCGCTCCCCTGAACCAACGCAATGAAGCCCGAAGCAGGCGCCGATTTTTCTGCTGCTATAGAATCAACATTGTGTGGGTCGATAGGTGGGTCGCGGGTGGGTCGGTGGGTGGGTCGCGGGTGGGTCGCGGGGTGGGTGGGTCGCGGGTGGGTCGCGGGTGGGACGCGGGGTGGGACGCGGGGGGGTCGCGGATGGGTCTTGTGGGTGGGTCGCGGCCGGTTCTCGGTGGGGACGACGGAACAAAACAACAAGCAGAATCCTCGCCGTGGATCCCCAGTTCAGCCATGCACCCAGGGACAGTGAATGACCGTTCGGCCCCTTCACTCTGATATGTGTGTATATATACTTATGCATATATAAGTGTATATGTTTTATATGTATATATACACATACAGAATTCGATGCACGAGACTTGAGGCTCGCTGCGCTTCGCTTTAAAGTCCTGGCCTGATGCATTAGTGCGCGGCGCGCGGGGTCCAATTTGGGTCAACGGGCTCCTGGCGTCGGCGATGCGCAGGCCTGGGGTCGGGAAGGTCGCGGGCGAAGAGACGTGGTACACCTCGAAGTGCACACGCGCCAAGGGGTGCGCGCGCCACGTGCCCAGGAACGAGGGAGCATGCGACGGTGATCGCTGATCAGATGGGATGCTGGCAATGATGATGGGTTAGCCCTTGAAATCGCTATCTGCAGAGTGGGGCACGGTTGGAGAGGCAGGGTTGAGACGGTCACGGACAGACATCTTAAACTGCAGAGGGCATAGACGGCGAGGTATGCAGGGTGGAGAGGGGAGTGTGGTTGGGGAGGCAGGGTTGGGAAGATCACGGCCAGCCTCGAACTGCAGAGGCCCTGGAACGTTTCGAAGGTAGAGTGGGGGTAAGGGTTGGGGAGGCCACGGTATTTACGGTGGAATTGGGGCCAGGGTTGGAGAGGCAGGGTCGGGAAGGCCACAGGCACGAACTGCAGAGGTCATGGAAGGTCTCTGGGGTAGAGTTTGGGGGATGGCTGGGGAGGCAAGGTCGGGAAGGTTACAGGCAACGTCAAATTGCAGATTGACCAGGCGATGAGTACGGGCGAAGTTGGATGGGGTCATAGGAGCCTCTTTTGGGGCGAGCCTGGGGCCGAGGTCCTGCTGGCATGCATGAGCAGGGGTGAAGGGGTTCGGGTGTGACGCATTGGTGCGGGAGAGTGGGTCGGTTACAGCCAACCTGTATAATAAAGGATGCACGGTAAGGATGCAAGGGCCTTGGAGGGCCACGTCAGCGTTTTTCGAACGAGGTGGGCCATCGAGAGTCGCTAAGGATGGACCGAAGAGGCAAGAATGCAAGGGTACCCTAGGGAAGTTTGCCCATCCTTACTATGCGGGTTGACTGTAGGTAAGGTTTGCGCGGGGGAGCAGAATGGGACAGGTATTGGATGCCTCATGGTCCGTTGGGCCTTGAGGCCACCTGAGAGCGCAGCCTGCTGGGAGCGCAGCAAGCTCGTCAAGGGTAGAACGGTGAAACCGTCGAAAATGTAACAAAATCACAGAAACGTGTGCTCGCTGGGCCTTTTTCGGGGGGGCATCTCGGAGCGTCCGATGGGGGCTCGTTGGTGCCTCTAGTAGTATGTACGCGTCTCTTGGGGCATCTTGGGAGCTCCCGGGAGCCTCTTGAAGGCCTTTGCGGGAGCCTCTTGGAGACCTCATGGGGGGCGTTTCGAAGCGTCTTGGGGGGCCTTGTGGAGGCTTCCTGGGAGCTGGCTGGGGTATCTCGGGCGCCTCTAGGGCCTTCTTCGGGGGCCTCTTGGATGCCTCTTGTGGCCTGTTTTGAACCCTCAGCAGCAGCCCATCGAGAGCGAAAAAGCGAGAAGGAGAACATAACATATTTTCCCCATGCTTTTTTTTGAATTGTGGCTCGTCGGTGGCCTCTGGGAGGGCCTGTTGGGGCCTTCTTGATTGCCTCTTGTGGCCTTCGTGGACCGTCTTGAGGTCATCTGACGCCATCTTCGGACGCTCTTTCGCTGATTGGGCTCATTTGGAGCGCCCCAGAACAGGCATGGAGCCGTCCTGAACCTCTCCTGGCTGTTTTGGGGCCGCTCCGGATGTCCTCCTGGGCCCTTCTTGGTCGTCCTGGGGGCCCTCTGGGGTCGTTGTGGCCATTGTGACGCCTGTCTGGGGGGGGTGTCCCCTATGATATGAAGAATGAAAGTGTACGTATATATCTATACACGCATATTGTACGCCTGATCCATCGGGTCTCGTGCGGCCCATTCCCACCTAGGAGCGTTGGCTGATGGGGCTGGGATTACCATGGCCCAGTGGGGTGGGGCTAGGTTTGATGATGCTGGGACCTGTTGCGCGGAGCACCTCTCGCTGAAGTGCATGTTGTGCATGTTGTCTCTCGGATCTCTCGACGGCTGGTTGCTTACCGTCCGCTCCCCAAACGAAGACCGCGAGTACGAGCGCTCCTCTTCCGCCATTGGCCGCGACAGTTCCTGGGGCCCTCCCCCCGACTGCGAGAACGACAAATAAGAGTCGTCGTACTCGCTCTCGGTCATGGCCGGCAGATGGTCGTACGACGGAGCGACCTCGGAGGAGCTGAACTGACTGTCGTCGAATCTCGGGGCTGCCGCGGCGATGTCGGCGGCCAGCCTGAGGGGCAACGATCGGGGGGGACTGGCTCAGAGGGGGAAGGAACATCGACCTGGAATCGGCGACACATCACCGCTATAGCGGCGACGGGCCCCGATAGCGCATCCGCACGTTCCTGGGCGAGGTCAGGGCTGTCGGGCCCCTGCCGACGATCTACGGGCGATTGGGGGTCGACGTGTTCCCGCCCTCAGCGTATCCATCTTTACCGCTGTCCCTGACGGCCCCAGGATGTCGGCCGGGACCGTGCTGCTGTCCCGCGTCCCGAGGAACGAGTCTGGTCTGCGCGCGGCGTCGGGGGCGCCCAGCGTGTGCTTCGGCGCGTCGCGGGACGCCAGGGGTCCACTGCGGCGCACCGCCTCCTCCAGGACCCGCGGAGGTCGGCCGCTGCCCTGGTCGTGCGAGCGGTCCGCAAGGTCCAACGAGAGCAGGTCGCGGGCAGAGGCATACCTCGACGACGTGGCTCGATCTGGCGCCGACTGGCCTGACAGTTCCGACGAGTGATGGATGATGGGTGTGGGTGCTGTGCTTTCTGGCAATGTTGCCATGCACGCCCTCCTCTCGTGTGGCTAACGCGCCTGAGACGGCATGGCTTTAGCCGAAACGACTGCGGATGCGCGCGCGTGTGTGTGTGTGTGTGTGTGTGTGTGTGTGTGTGTGTGTGTGTGTGTGTGTGTGTGTGTGTGTGTGTGTGTGTGTGTGTGTGTGTGTGCGTGTGTGTGTGCGTGTGTGTGCGTGTGTTGTGTGTGCGTGTGTGTGCGTGTGCGTGTGCGTGTGCGTGCGTGTGTGCGTGCGTGTGTGTGTGTGTGTGTGTGTGTGTGTGTGTGTGTGTGTGTGTGTGTGTGTGTGTGTGTGTGCGTGCGTGCGTGCGTGTGTGTGTGTGTGCGTGCGTGCGTGCGTGCGTGCGTGCGTGTGTCTGTGTGGTCTGTTGTACGTCGGTGCGCGGTCGTCATGTGCGGTGGTATCCCTGAGGTCATCGGCTTACACATGGACCTCGCTTTCTTCTTTCGTGACTGGGTGGCCTGTTCGTGCGCGCCCGCTCTTCTCCTCGCCGCCGTTCCAGCGCTGAAGGGCGGCGCCCTCGCTTGGGAAACAGCTGCGCGTGTGGGCTTGTGCTGGGACGCTCCTCTCGGGACGACGGCTCGTTGCGCCTGCACGGCTCGCTCTTCTCTTGCACCAATTACATTTCTCCACCGTCCTCTGGCTCTCCTTTCCCACCGCCGTTCCCAGACATCTGGCTGCTCCAAATTTTTCGATGCGTGGGCCCCGGAGGTCCGGACCACTTCCCCAGGAACAGTATTTCGTCCTGAGTGTTTTTGTTGACGCTCCCGAGGCCCAGCGAGGGCCCCAAGAGGCCGAAAACTGTCAAAAGCTGCCTTCTCCAATTTTTTCTGGAGCGTCGGATCTCAAGGTTGTGTCTCTGGACTCTTGCGCTTTTCTCTGGAGGAGGGAGCACTACATCCTGGGCCCAAGGGGTCGGTGTGTACCACGTCTGGCGGGAGTAGCCTCGTTTTACAGAGGACGAACAACAGTACAGGCATAGACTTTGGGAGGTCCGCGCGGATCCAAGAAGTCCGCGCGGAGCGCCAAGAGTTTATGCCTATGCCGTTTGTCTTCGATTTTACTTTCGCCGCCTTCCACCAACCCTCCACCGCCTACCGCCGACGAAAAGATGCCAACTCCTTCGATCATAGATGGCGAGGACCTGTCCAGCACGCCTCATGCAGGCCGACCCTGGGCCCAAAATGAGACTGGCCGGGACCAGTGCGTGTACACACGGTCATGATCGCCGGGCGCGTGGGAGCGCAGGCGGTCCTCTCGGCTCACTGGCACGCTCTGGCTCGCTGTCGCTGTGGTCTGCTGCATGGCCTCAGCCGGCTGCAGTTGTCAATCCACGCCCTTCCGCGGCCCTGGAGCCTCCAAAACATTCCCAGGGACCCGTTTTTCATGCCTCGTTCTTTCGACAATTCCAGGGGCCAGAAGCGGGCCCCCTGCTGAGAGTGGCGAAGGGTCTGGGTCCCTCTTGCCTCGTCTTGGCATGGCAGAGGGGTCCTGGTGGCAACGGTTCCTGGACGTGGACCTCGGTGCTTTCTCTGGGCCCAACGGAACGACGATCAAAAACGATGACGTAGCGACCTTACGCGGCGGCTTACGCGGGCCGCCGGCGCGGCACGCTGCATTGGAGACGAGGGCGCTTACGCGCGACCTTCCGCGGGCAGCTGACGCGCCAGTGTCGGCGCAAACGACCCCTTTTTTTGCCGTCGCTCAACTCGTCATCCCGATCCCTTTTTGACGGCCCAGGGGCCTGGGAGGGGCCCCGAGATCCCGAACTGGCACCTCAAAGATGGGGCCCTGAGGCATGGGGCCTTCGGGCGGCGAGACAAAAAATTAAGCAAGTCCCTAACCACCATATCGTAATCCCAGATGGTGGTGAGCTAAAGCATGAACCAACAGAGCCCAAGAGGCTCCCAAGAGAGCCCCAAGAAAGGCTCCAGAGCGTCAGCGTCGTCGTCGTCGCCACTGCCGCCGCCGCTGTTGTCGTCGCCGTCCCCCTTCAGGGTCGGCGGCACCAGCCGCCAGGCCTTCCCAATCAAAATCCCTAACCACCATATCGTATAATCCTAAATGGTGGCGAGCTGGAAGCAATGAGCACGAATCATCATCGCACTACGTAACCACCAAGTCGTTACAATCGTTCCCAGACATCCGACGGTGTACTCTTTACAATGCGAAGCCCCTAGGTCCTGACCTCTTTCCCAAGGGTATTTTTTTGTGTTTGGCTAGTTTTTGATTGCCCCGTGGTCCGATACTGGGACCCAGGGGCCGAAATCTAGAAATAAAGAAAGCTAGGGCTGACAACAATAATATCGTCGCCCTGCCCTCGGCACGGTCGACATAGGTACGGAAAGAACGAGCGCCGAGACCAACACCGATGTCTGCCCATTTTGAGCAGGACTCACTGTCGCTGTCAAAGCGGACGTTGTCCATTTGAGGCGAACAGTCGCCTGCCCAACAGTGGCCGCTGTCGGTTTGGGACACCATGCGCTGTTCAGCATCGTACGATTTTTTTCGTATCGTACCCCTGCCAGGCATGCCGACTACCCCCCCCCCCCCTTCGGCGCCAGAATGCGCCAGCGGGACCGGTGCGCACACGGCCGCGGCGGAATCCCCCAACGGGCTGCGCAGCACCCGGCAGCCGCCGAGCTCAAGGGGCAGATATCGGCCGCCCACCTGAGATTGGCGGCGCGCGCAGCTCGGCCTCGATCCTCGGTTCTCTTTCCTAGGCTGTCGTAGGTTTTCGCTGGCTGCTCACTGCTGGACGTCTTCTCTCCCCGGGGTGCCTGCCAGCAGCTGCGTCGCGCCGAGAGAGTTCCAGTAGTGCTGGAATCGTCCCGAACGGCTGCAACGAGTTTTGTGGCGCGCACACGGGGTAGCGCGAGGGACTGGCCTTCTGAGAAGGCATCCGGGATTCGTAAAGGCGGGGAGTTCTTAGAAGGGCCCAAACTTCTGATTAAAACCCTTAGAAACTAAGAGGGTTTCTAAGAAACCGCCTGCCTTCTCAGAACCTCCGTCACCTCTGCCGCCCCCTAGTACGCGCCGCCAACAGGCCTTGGTCGTCGCGCTCTGTTTCAAACTTTCGCGAAGACCTTCATGGGAGACCTTCGAGGGAACGACGAAGGGCTGTAAGGCCCGAGTACGAAGCAGGCAAGATTTAGACCAGGGATCCATCCAGAATGAGCCTGGCTGGACGGGGTGGCGCAGGACTGCGCTTGTTCTCAGACGCGCATGTGCCGGCGCCGATGCTGTAGTCGACGCCCCAAGATCTGCCAACTCGAAAACTTCCCCCCGCAAAACTGCCCCGAAGATAGAAACATCAGGAACGAATGTAACACCGATGTCGCTAGGTGGCCAGGGTCCTGGGTTCTCGGCCGCGGGTTCCCAAGTTCCTGGGCTGCGGGTTCCTCGCCAATTTCGGTGGGCAGCCGAATTTCTTGGTTGTCTGTTCACGGTCCGGCGTTACCCGCGTTGTAAGGTTCCGGAGTCTTCGAGCTCTTGGCTGCGGCCAAATGCCCTTGTCGTTGCGGTCACGGACAGAATAATGTGTATAAAACACTGGAAAGGACATACCAGATAGTAGGAAGCATAGTTGAAAGATCGCACAATCAAGCATCGGGTCTTGTCGATATCTACAACACTGAACAGGGAGCACAACGAGCTCATGGCAGCAATCGGTAATAGTGCTGCCTGAATCGAGGAAAAGAGAGAGAGAGTGAGAGAGAGAGAGCGAGGAAAGAAATATGGAGAATCCGTAGGGGAACGAATGTAGATGTACCGATGTCAGCATAAACCTATAGACCAAGAAAAATAAGGATATGTGGGGATAGATAGGGAGAGAGAGAGAGAGAGAAAGAACAACTATACATTACAAAGTAGAGCGTGAGAGCAGAGAGTAGCTCCCCCATCACTGCTTGCACTACAAAAGTCATCTTGGGACGAAAGAGTAATCGAAACTGGCGGGGCAGAATTCGTTAGGAGGCTGGGTTCCATGGTTCGAGGTTCTGGATTCCAGGCCAATGTCGGTACGCGGCTGGTCTCCCAGGTTCCTGGTTCGTCCAAGGGTCACGGTACGCTGGGGTGCTCAGGTTCTCGAGTTGGGCGCTTGCGACCATAACGAATGTATAGATCGTGTAGCGTGGAGACAGAGTTGAAGAGAGCAGGTCAATGTTCAACAGGGAGGATCGAAATAAAGGTTGGGGAACAAACGGTAGATCGAACCTGGAGGGTATTCCAAGTAAGCACAATAGCAACATCTCGCAAAGAGAAGGGGGGAAGGGACGGAGCAGAGAGCGGTTGGAGGATCTATACATACATATATATATATACACACACATACATACTAGAACCATCGCGCGCGCGCTTCGCGCGCGCTCCAGTTCTAGCTAGGCTCGATGGGCGAACGCATGGAATATCGTCCTTGTCGTTTTTTGCACCCAAGGACTCTTGGAGACCCTGCGCAAGCCTCGGAATAGTATAGAAGGGGAATGGCGGAAACACAAAAATCACTATTTGCCGCTAGGTTTCAACGATTTGGGGCCCTCGAACGCTTCCTGGATTCTTCTCCTGGGGCCCAATTGTGGTCTGTTGTGCCAGAATAGACAGGGGGCGAACTTGGAACAAAAGCGGAATGGTGGGATTGCCTTATTTTTCAAGTTGTAGTGCCTGGGCTGTGGGTTAGACGTTTTCTGCATGCAGGCCGCGGTCTATTTGGATGCCTCTTCGTGCAAGAATAAGCAGGGGTAAGTTTGAAAAACGGCTTTCTAACATTCCACTGCTTCAACTCATAAGATCATGCGATCCCGATGTCTACAATGGTTTCAGGGGCAGCCAAGAGGACATGAAGACGATCCAAGAGAATGCCAAGACAGCGTCAGAGAGTTCAACAACATGCCCGAAACAGCTTTGCATGTGACCCCGAAGTCCTGATGGGGCTCGAGGAAGAGGATAGGGCGTAGGAGTCCCAGTTTGGAAAAAAAAGAAGAACTATGGAATTCCTCCTTCTTTCTGTTTTCAAATTCCTCGGTCTTGGAGCGTTGGAAGCCTGAAAACGTGAGAAGGCGAAACACGTAGACAAAACCGCTGGATAGCAACTATTTTACCCTCTTCGGGCTCCCTCGGGAAGGCTCTCGAAGCTCGATTGGGCTGTTTTGGGGTCCTCGTCGGGAACCTTTTGGGAGCCCCTCAGGAATCTAGGGTGTGTTGGAGGCCTCAGGAGGGTCCCGGAGTCCTCTCAGAGGTCACTGGCGGCCTCCTGCTCCCGCTCTTGGGTTCATCTTGGGCCTGTTCTGGGGTGGTCTGGAGCTGTCCTGGGCGCCTCTTCGGCAGTCTTGGAGCCGTCTTGGCCCGTCTTGGGGGCCTCTTGGGCGGTCTTGGGAGCCTCTTCGGCCGTACCCTTGAAACAAACAAGGAGCATTCACGATTTTAGGTTCTCTGGACGCTCTCGGGAGGCCTCTCGGAGCTCTCTTGAGGTCTCTTGGAAGCCTCCTGAGAGCCTGGGAAGCCGCCCGAAAACTATCTTGGGTTGCTTGGGAGCGTCTTGGGCAATGTTTTACGTTGTGGGGGTTTCTTGAGGTCGTCTTGGGCTGCCTTTGAGCATTGAGGGGGCTCCCCGGGGGCCGGGAAGCGCGGTACCGGGAGCGTCCAAGAAATGTGCATGAGCGAGGTGGAAGACGCCCCAGGAGGGGGGCCCGCGTATTTGTTATATGTATATATATATATATATATATATATATATATATATATTTACACATATACATACACACGTACATACATACATACATACATACATACATACATACATACACACACATACATACATACATACATACATACATACATACATACACTCACATAAATCCGTAAGATGTTTTGTGGGTTTGCGTTGGCCCCCGGCTCCCCGAGCCTCCGGGAGCCTCCCAGGGGCCGTGAAACGGCTCCGGGAAACACCCGGAAAGGCCCGAACCGGTGCGGGAGCTCCTGAGAGACCCCCAACGCGGCCCAAGAGACCTCCAAGATCCCGCAAGACGGCCCCCAAAGCCTTCTGCAAAGTGCCCCGGGATGCCAAAGTCGTCAAATTCCCTTGACAAAACGTGCATTTTGGGCATGCACGACTTTTCAAATCCCGATGCTTCACGGCGGCCAAAGACGCTTCATAGACTGCCCCAAGACGGCCCTACAGGACTCCAAGAGGCTCCCACGACGGCCCCAGAGGGCCTCCCAGGGGCCTCGAAACGGCTCCGGAAAACACCCGGGGAGGCCCGAAACGGCGCCGGAGCTCCTGAGAGACCCCCAACACGGACCAAGAGACCTCCAAGATCCCGCACGACGGCCCTCAAAGCCTTCCACACAGAGCCCCAGGAAGCCAGCATCGTCGAATTCCCTTGGGAAAACGTGCATTTTGGGCATGTGCGAGTTTTTCGCATCCCAAAGCTCCACGACGGCTCAAGACGCTCCATACACCGCCCCAAGACGGCCAAACAGGACTCCAAGAGGCCCCCACGACGGCCCAAGAGGGCGTCCCAGTGGCCCTGACGCGGCTCCAGAAGACACCCGCAAAGGCCCGAAACGGCGCCGGAATTTCTGACAGACCACAAACACGGCCCTAGAGACCTCCGAGATCCCGTGAGACGGCCCCCAAAGCCTTCCGCGCAGAGCCCACGGAAGTCACAATCGTCAAATTCCGTTTGGGAAAACGTGCATTTTGGCCATGTACGAGTTTTCGCATCCCGAGGTTCCACGACGGCCCAAGACGCTTCATAGACCGCCCCAAGACGGCCCAACAGAACTCGAAGAGGCTCCCACGACGGCCCACGAGGGCATCCCAGAGGCCATGAAACGGCTCCGGAAGGCGCCCGCAGGCCCGAAACGGCGCCGGAGCTTCTGAGAGACAGCAAACACGGCCCAAGAGACCTCCTAGATCCCGTCAGACGGCCCCCGAACCTTCCGCACAGAACCCCAGGAAGCCAACATCGTCAAATTTCCGTAAGAAAACGTATATTTTGGGCATGTACGAGTTTTCGCATCCCGATGCTCCACGACGGCCCCAGACGCTTCATAGACCGCCCAAAGGCGGCCCAACAGGACTCCAAGAAGCTCCCACGACGGCCCAAGAGCGCTCCAAGACGGCTCCACGACCCTCCGGGGGCGTCCCCGGAACCCAAAAACGGCCCCGGAAGGCACCCAGAGAGCCCCGACACGGCGCCAGACTGCCTCAGAGGCCCCCGCCACGGTCCAAGAGACCGGCAAGATCCCCTAAGACGGCCCCCGAGGCCGTCCGCGCAGAGCCCCAGGAAGCCAAAATCGTCAAATTCCATTGGGAAACCGGACATTTTTGGCATGTACGAATTGTCCGCTTCCCGAGCCTCTAAGACACCCCAATGCGCTTCCTAGACCGCCGCAAGACAGCCCGCGCCGCCGCAGCTGCTCGCGTTGCCCCCCGGCGCCCTCACCCAGCGCGCCCGCTGCCCCGCCAGCCGCTCATCATCGAACTCCTTCGGCCTCTGCGAGTCCCTTCCTCCCTCTGGGCATCTCGCTGCTTCCCCTGCCCGGCCGTTCGCTCGAACCACAGGCGCGTTGAAGCAGTGTTCTTCCTCGCTGGTTACAACAAATATTGCGGGGCGGCTGCCATCGACCGACGGCCCCACACGCTTCATAGACCGCCCAAAGGCGGCCCA